ATTTGCTATTCGAACACACCTACTCTGTTTTTGTGATTCATTAGAAAGGTATTTCACTTGACCTATATATTTCATTTTTTTAGTACTGTGAATTTTCGATGTTATAAAGTCAACCTGTAGCCTTGATATATAAAAATGATAGAATCTGAAGCGAGATGATGTATCAAATACTTTTGCTTTTTACGTTTTCAAGACAAAATATTCAACTCAAACACGCCCTAATTTGATTCTTTTGGTATATCTTATGTTATATTTTCGTTTTGTATCGAATTTTTCAACCGATGGAGTCTTAATAATGTGTCATACGAGTTGAAAGTTTGCCACCATAAAACCGTAACCAATCACTCCCTTTGTGCAGTACCTGTGTTCATGATATTGTATATGAGACAGCCATCTTTTAATGGTTGAGAGGAACATCGTATCTGTTTCATAGCATACCAGAGACATTTTGAATGTATAATGGATAACGCGCGTCCGCTATTATTTATATGACATTATTACTGGTTCAACCAAACATGGAAGTATTATATTGTCAATTATTGTCAATATAATACTCCCATGCACCAGAGGACAATATTCACTTTAGGCCAAATATGGCTTTGAATTTCAACATAATCATAAAGTATCAAAAAGGCCATGATTTGGTTCTTAAATGGTTCTTCTTTAAAAGCCTTACTAATAGGTTAAACAAATCTCTTAAAAAAATACATTCACATAATAAATATAAGCTTCACAGTTAGCACACTTTTGATATATTGTCAAAGCATGATGATTATATGCATTTTCCGGACCTAAAAGGTTGAGGAAACCATAAACCGAAATCGAAATGTTCTGTAACCAAAAAGAAGCCAATGATGATATTGAATCACTAAACACAAACCATTCTGGATCAGGGGTGGAGGCCAAAGTAAATTATTCTAGAAACTGTTAAGATTTATGGAAAAGTTTCACCAAAAAATTAACGTTACAACACAACTAATATATAATGCATATAATTAAGGGGTCATTACTTCGTCATTTGTAATGTTTGTGCCAAAACGAAGTTATTTTGTATTAATTGAATAGTAATATCACAACTATTTCTATATAAAATTTGTAGAATTTTGGCTTGACAAAAAAAAACCATCAAAATTTAAGAGCCAATTTTCACACTTCATTAACATACTCCTATCCCCTTATAGTTTTAGGATATTAATTAGTGAAATGTAAAGATTGACGGAGTACAGAAAATTAAAACCATATATGTTACAGCGTCCTCCTTTTCTTTTAATGGTGTGCATTCAAGAATCAAGTTTGTATTTGATAGAACACATCTGAAGATTTTACAACCAGATTACTGTAAGGGTACTTTTTAGCACCACAACAATAGCAGTCACGAAATGAAATAAATGCTTTTGCATTAACAACGACAGGCTTTTAGATGGTCATAGCATTTTCTTGTTAAGCAGGAAAAATATCATCTTACTTCGCGAAACACTTCAGCACTTACTTTATATCAATACATTGTAATAAAACTATGCATCATGCGAGCTATTGATTTAAATCAGTATAGTTTTTACTAAATGTTTAGATTTGCATTGAATTAAAGAGCATATTCTTAATAAAACAACAAAAAGCATGCTGCAATTTACAATCGTTCCCTTATTCTTACTAATAACGTCTCACCCATTGCATCTTATTACAGTCAGGATTCTACTTCGTCAAAATTATCTCCCCATTACGCCAGTTCATTTTTACAATCGTAAAAATGGAAGCCATTGTAGGGATGACGCGCTGCCAATTTAGCTCTTGAAAACCGATAAGTTTATCCGCATAGCACCATTACGATCCTTATATGCCAGTTGTATTTTAAAAGACAAATGTATCTACTAGCTAATGAGCATCAGTTAATGTACTTGTCTGCATTCAGTCAACTTAAAACTATTGTCTGATCGGTTGTCAGGTGGAATTTTCGAAAATTCATAATTATTTAAAAAAAATTCTAATTTAATATTTCGTGGAAGGGCAGACTAAAAATTTCCAGTGGTTGAAGACTATAAACCCTAGATATCACACACAAAAAATGAAGTTTTTTGGAAGATATGCATTTTTAAGATCCAACTTATAAGTCTGTCGTCAAGTACTTTTAGTAAAAATTTGCTATTCGAACACACCTACTCTGTTTTTGTGATTCATTAGAAAGGTATTTCACTTGACCTATATATTTCATTTTTTTAGTACTGTGAATTTTCGATGTTATAAAGTCAACCTGTAGCCTTGATATATAAAAATGATAGAATCTGAAGCGAGATGATGTATCAAATACTTTTGCTTTTTACGTTTTCAAGACAAAATATTCAACTCAAACACGCCCTAACATAAAAAGGTGCGTTCGATTTTCTCTTTTCGATGCAATTGTTACCCATTTTTGGGAATTTTTTCTTGAGTCACATAATGGAAGGGCAGAAACGAAAATTAAGGAACAAATAGATTGATATGTTCTCCGTCCATGGTAAATTTTTATGAAAAATCGGAGGTTATGCATTTTTTAGATCCAACTTAATAGACACCCATGTCGTCGACCTGATATCTAATTGTTCTGCTTAATTATGTAATAGATAAATTGAAAACTTATGCAAATTGTGTTTTTATGATAAAATATTTCGTAATTTAGCCAAAAACTGTCATTTTATTAGTTTCTATTAACTTTTAAAATTTGAGTTACTACAGTAAACATTACAGTAAGCATTTATCGCCTTCTCTAACAAAGAGCTTCGATTCTTTTGTTCTATTTCAACTGGGTTTCCGCCTGATTAAAGGGTTGTCTACTCTTACGTAACACATTGGTTCCACCCCGTTTTTGTTTTTTGTTTTTTTTTGTTGTGTTCATATTCTTCAATCTATAAGTTTCTGTATAATTTCTTATGGACTAGCGCATTTTCCCTTTGGTCATGTTGTTGATTGTCCGTCGTCTTAACACTGGACGTTAAGCAAACAACAATCAAGCAATCAATCAATCAATCCTTCGACTAAGTTATGATTTAATAATGCGCCTTTCGTATTTTCTAAAAGTTTCTTAACTGTTACCTAAAGAGAAGGAATGTTTTGCCGCAAAATTATATACACTCGCCAAGCGTTCAATATCAAATATACTAATAAAAATATTGTTGAATAAAGGGGGGAAAGTGTCTTCAAAGCTACTACACGGTGAATCATAAGTATAAAAAAAATAGAAGGATTTTTTCAATATGTAATGTGCAACTGTATAAACGAGATTCTGTACCTATAGAAAAAATCACAATATGTTTTGGAATGTTGAAATATATATTTATATAATATTATTGTTATTTTGACAGGTTATAGGTTTATTATTAGTACCACATATTTACTGCGTCATGTTTATGTAATGCTATTTATTATGACCTCATGAATCACATGCATCTGTGTCTGAGTTATCAAATATAATCTTGAAATCTTGAAATCTTGCAATGAATCTATGATTGAACTTACTCCTAAATGATTATTTGTTGGGTTTTTTTTTTTTTTTTGTTATTTACGGGAGGGGGTAAAGTACTAAGCCGCCACAGACCCAAACGCATATTTTAGTTAGATCACATACATGTACATGTTTACCTTTCCATCGATTTTTCCAAGCTAAAACAAATTTTACAGATGCATATATATAGAAATATTTGTGAAAGAGCTAGCATTCAGTTACAATTTAGCATTTGGCCATTTCAATGTGAATGCCTTCCACTTAAAATCAAATATATTTTTAATCATTTATTATTTTCTGTCTGTGTTTACTAGTAAAAATCATCATAGATACCAGGATAAAAAATTTGTACGCCAGACCCATTTCGTCTACAAAAGACTCATCAGGGACGCTCGAATCAAAAAAATTAAAAAGGCCAAATAAAGTACGAAGTTGAGGAGCATTGTGGACCCAAAATTCCGAAAGGTTTTGCCAAATACAGCTAAGGTAATCATTTCCTGGTGTAACACTTTCTAAGTATTTAGAACAATTCAAAGTTTTTTTAACAGTTAATTTATAATTATGACCATATCAAAGATAATTTATGTCAACACGGAAGTGCTGACTACTGAGGCTGGTGATACCCTCGAGCAGAAAACCTCCACCAGCAGTGGCATCGACCGTATTATTATTATTATTATTATTATTATTATTATTATTATTATTATTATTATTATTATTATTATTATTATTATTGTAGTAGTAGTAGTAGTAGTAGTAGTAGTTATAGTACAATTATTTTCTTTGATACAGTTTATGATATCATTTGATCTTTTTATTTGAAATGGGGAATTCTACAGTGTGTGTCAACTGAATGCAGTTGCCTTTGATAAAAATACTCATCTTAGGTTACCAGGATAAAAATTATGTAGACCAGACGCGCCTTGATAAACGATTACATTTTGATGCCTTTACTAGGAAATATATCATATAAAAAAGCAACTATAAAATTATTAATCAGTACAGATAACGTGACTGAAGTACCTCTAAGAATGCATCGACCAACTATGAATTGTTAACCAGTACAGATAATGCGATTGAAGTACATCCCAAGGCACATTTTCTATTTTGTTATAAAAGAAAAAAATCTCAGATTTGTTTACGTTTTGACTATAAACTAAGCAGACTTAATTTTTTGAAATGTTACGAGTTTCAGAAATTTACGTAGTATAACAAGCTACCTCTTTTTGCGGTCAATTAATGTTTTTAATTAGTTACAGTAAAACAAAAAATTATCGTTTTTTTTTTATCAGAGATACACGTGTGTGCCACTTTTTCAAAACAATATCGCGCAGTAGTAATGGAAATTTACGTAGTACAAAAAATGTATGACAAACTACCACTTTTTACGGTCAATTAATGTTTTTAACTATCTAAAGTAGAAAAAGATTATGTTTATCCGAGATGCACGTGTGTGCTACTTTTGTTTTAAATATTGTGCAGTAGTAATGAAAAATGTGCGAAATGAGAAAAAAAAGACGTTTACCTTTCTGTGAGAAGAGAAAATAATTAAGAATCCAAATTGAAGTGTTTTCTCGTCAGTCGTGTCATAAGTTGTTTTCAGTCAATTGAACAAATGAAATATATTTATTGATGATTCTGTGGTGGGCGAATCTAACGAATCCTATTGATGGACATCTTCAAAGGGGCGGCAGTAAACATCTTTACGTTTCCCTCATTTATTGTACGTTAATATTTGTACATTTTTATGTAAATCTTTAATGATGCATGGCAATATTGACATTACGTTTTAGCAAATCCAATGAAGGAAGTTTAGAAGAATAGTGACAATTATCATAGCTCTTGGCGAACAGCGTTAATTGAAATGAATTCCATGTAGAATAAAGATAAAAATTATTTAGAATTATTATTTAGTAGGAGACAATGCATTATCACTGAAAATAAATTATACACTTTATTTGGTTTCATTTTAAAAACTGAAATATACACAAATGTAAATGTTGGAACTATACAGTTTTTTTGTCTGTATTTTTGACCAACGGCTATTATTATCAACAGAGAATATTATTGAATGTTGCGGTTTTGTAAGAATATAATACAAAAGACTGGTCAAAGGTACGCCACCGAATTTATTCAAGTTAAAACAGAAGTTAAAATACACAAATCGTTAAAAGCTAAAAGACGAAAACTGCAGCCAGCTTAGGCTTTGGGTCGTTTTTTCTTGTTTTTAGCTGTTGCTAAATGTGTCTTTTTGGGTTTTTCTTTTTTAGGGAAGAGGGCTTTTGTGGCTTCAATGTTTTGGTATTTTTAATTTTTAATCTTGGCGACTTTACAGTTTACCAGTTCTTTTTATCTATATTTATGATAACAATTTGCAGATGCCATTTTTCAGCACTTAGTCTAATATAAAAATAAGAAGGTGTGGTATGATTGCAAATGAGACACCTTTGCACCAGAGACCAAATGACGTAGACGGAAGCTGCTATATGTCACCTTATTTGCAATATTTAAAAAATCTTTGCTCGTTTCTTTTCTGAATGAAAATGTAGAATGTGATTTATGTTTTTAGACCAATTTATGTAAGAGGGTCTAGATGGGGTTTACAGAATAGAGAATGTTGGTCAAAAAGTTCAGAATAAAGGGCAAAAACTATAAAAGAATAGAGAAAAATAGGCAAAAAAAAAGAAAAGAGAATAATGGTGTGCTGAAATATAAAGATTTGAAAATAATGGGCAAACATAGTTAAAGAATAAAGCAAAATAGTCTAAAAAGTTAAAGAATACAGAAATGAAGGACCATCCATCCATATCCTCATGTAACGATGATCATTACGAAAACACTACTCTTGTTTCTTCAATTTTCGTTTCAAATTGTAACAAATTCAAGAAAAATTACAGTCAATCATTTCATTTCGTCTGTGTTCCTTGTTCTCAAACACACCTTAATCGGTTTCTTTTTTTACAGGAAACATTATAGCTAAAATCTGACAAATGTAAAAGATACAAGCTATTGATAGTATAGATTTATCCGGTAATCAGATTTCAAATAATTTAGTCTTTTAAAACTTGGCTTGAAAAATACGTTGGCGCTCTGATTTCCATCAGGATGTATATCGACAAGAGATTAATTGGTATGGGAATTATGTTCAATGAAAAATGAATTTCACTGATAGTTGGGAAATCTTACCACTTACATGTAATAAACAAAGCTTTGTTCATCCCTGCAAATCATTGTCGTAGTATTAGTGATTGCGTTCTTCTGTATCTCACGTGTCTGTTCCATGTGTCGGTATCGCAAGCTATTAGTCTTTCTTTAATTATGTTACTTCACGCAACTGTTCGTCTCTGCAAATCGTTGCCATAGTATTCGTGAATGCGTTAGTAGTGTGTTGACCGTTGCGTATCTTACTCCTGTCTGTCACGTGTCTTTTCCATGTGTCGGTATCGCAAGCCATTTGTCTTTCTTTAATTATGTTACTTCCCGCAATTGTTCATATCTGCAAATTGTTGAAGCGATACAGTGGAATGCGTTACTAAAGTGTTGACTGTTGCGTATTTTACTTCTGTCCGTCACGTATCTGTTACACGTGTCGAAGTCGCAAGCCATTTGTCTTTCTTTAATTATAGTACTTTACCGAAACTATTCATCTCCGAAAATCGTTGAAGCGGTATCAATGAATAATGGCCGTTGTGTTTCCTTCTGTCTGTCACGTATCTGTTCCATGTGTGATAGTCGCAAGTCATTTGTCTTCTTTAATTATGTCATTTTCTGCATTTCACGCTGCGTGACTCAAGAGAACAGATGCAAAACCTGATTTTAAGTGTCAATATTTTTTTTATAATTATTTGTGCTCTGTTGATTGTAAACTTTTCTTTTTTATATTTTTTTTGCAAGTCCCATTATTCGACTGTCAGATTTTTTGTACTGGTGCCGGAATTTTTATTTCCCCCGATATAGTGTCCTCACAGGCGTTAGTGTCAAGATTTATTAAAATTTGGTGATAAATGCTCAGCTACCAGTGATACATATTGTGAGGAGGAATAACAAATTACACATGAGTTTAGTTTCACACAAAAAGTCAAAATCCCCAACTTAGTGGAATTTTGCACCGAAGAACATCCAAATAAAGATAGTTTAATTGCACCTGATCGAAGAGAGATACAAGATACCAAAGGGACATTCAAGCTCACAAGTCGAAAATAAACTGACAACGCAATGGTTAAAAAGGAAAAGACAAACAGACAAAAAACAGTATGCACAAAACACAACTTAGAAAACTAAAGACTTAGCAACACGAACCTCACCAAAAACTAGGGGTTGGGAGTGATCTCAGGTGCTCCGGTAGGGTGAGCAGATCCTGATCCACATGTTGCAACCGTCGATTGACCGTCACAATACAAGACATTTTAAATTCTTCAAAAAGAATGTTAGTTTTGATTAATAATTACCTTCTAGTTCATTCTTAGATGAATACTCCAAATTTTCTGACAATATTCCAAATTGTGGTATTGGCCTTCTTTATGTATTAATGATAACAAGGCTGTATGTTCTGAAATAGGAAATTATGTCATTATAAACATAAATTATAACATAGGGAGTTATGATTTTGTATTTTGTAGTTTATTTTCCGGTTTTATGACTTTTTAAATGGTTCCAGTAACTTCCGGGAAAATAGACATAAATCCCTACCTCTTTTCCAAAAATTGAAGTTGCAATTCCCTCAAATTGACCTACACGAAGATATTTCTTTTTTTTTTTTTTTTTTTTTGCTTTCGGTTTTTCCCATGTTTTGTTTTCAGTGGTTTCGATAAAGTACATCGTGAAATGAGTACCCAACTTAGACTGTTTCTTGTCCTTTTTATTAGTTTGATTTATGTACCCTTATGTTGAAATGGAGAGAGAACCAGCCAGTCTCTAACACAACTTAGTCGGAATATTTCTAGATTTATAACTACTTTGATTTAACCTTTGAGCGATGCAGCATAAAATTACCATTTCCGGGACTGTGAATTTCCGTAGTAATTTTTTTTAACGTTCTTCTTGGTCAACTTTGTTTTCCTGTTGAGCGTCCGACTTTGTATACTGACCAACAAGTTTGACTAATGTCCTATATAGCTTTTTTTACTGAAATTTGATATGTGCTGCGGCTACGTATAATATTTTACAAAAAAAATCTTACAAGAGAGTTATTCCAAGTCCGTTTTGCTCGAGAAAAAGTAAAAGACGAAACACAATTTAGAATAACAAATTAAAACAATGATGCTGAAATATCCAACATGGGATAGAACTTTTTCCGAAAGACCTGAAAAGAGACACGTTTTTCAAAGGTTAAGAAAGAAAGTTGAATTAACTAAAAAGTCACGCAATGTTAATTTGCAGTTTAGTTATCGAGGATATTGAATGATACAGTATATCATACAACACCCCTAAAAACTTAAAGTGAAAAAAGTTACACTTAAAAATAGATAAAGACTCATGAAAGATACCAGCAACATTTTTTTACGACAGACGCGCGTTTCATCTAAGTGACTCATCAGTGGCGCTCGAATTAAAACAGATAAAAAGCTAAACCAAATACGAAGTTATTGATCTTTAAAAGCCGAAAATTCCGAAAGGTTGTGAGCCAAGACTCCGTGTTGAAGGCCGTACTTTGACCTATAATGGTTTACTTTTACAAGTTGTGACTTGGATGGAGAGTTGTCTCATTGGCACTCATACCACATCTTCTTAAATTTATATCAATGATATTTCATGTCAACACAAAAGTGCTGACTACTTAGCAGTGGCATCGACCCAGTGATTGTAAAAACTCACCAAAGATAGATAATAAAGGATATTATTCACTAAGGATCGAGTTAACATCAAGAAGAATATGCTAAACATAGTAAGAAAGCTATTCTCTCTCTTCCAAGATGGAAATATGAAATTTAAAAGTGGAAGTGATCTTTAAGGTTTCTTATTCAATGGATTATTCAAACCAATAATGTCAGCTTTTAAGGTAAATGATCGTATTGAACATCGCCACACATTGGATGCAAATTATATAACTTTAAGACATGGATGAGAAAGGATTATGTTGGCCTTTTTATTAAGTCCCCCCCCCAAAAAAAAAAAAAGTGACATTCGATATAACTTAATCTTTTTTTTTTTAAATCATAAATAATCCAGATATGAACATTTACTGTGAAAACGGTATTCCACACGAAAACGTTATTTGATATTTTTATGATGAAATTAAGCCGTAGCATTCATCGTTTCCTTCAGTATAAGAAACTAAAATCGGCGAATATGTTTGTTGAAAAAAGCATTTAGAACTTTGTGATCTTCCATAAGTTTGATCATGGTACCGATAATGTTTTCTTATATTTTTATTCACACAATGAAGATTAAAAAAACATATTTCATCAGAAGCATTTGTTGGAATCAATGGGCATTCTGGGAACTGGCGTCCAGTTTATGATGTAAGGAGATTGAAATTTTGCAATTAATTTCGTTAACGTCTACAACCAATAATAATTGATAAGACCAAATGTGCAATATTTGTTTTTTCTTAGAGCTTAGAAAAAAAACTAATCAAACATTTTTTTTTTTCTCATAATATAT